GCTCGAAGGCTTACCGAGTTACCCCCAAAATACCAACGCCATAAACATATCAATAACATATAAACAAACAACATGCATAATTAGCCTTTAGCCTGACTGGACCGCCTCGCAGGCCTTCAACCTATCTGGACCGCTCTCCGAGCCTTCGACACGTCTGGACTGCCTCGCAAGGCCTACAACCTATCCGGACCGCTCGTCGGGCCTTCGGTTTGACCAACAAGCCCTCATGGGCCTGTAGTCTATCCGGACCGCCCTGGGTATGTTGGCCTTCAGCATAAAGCAGGACCGCCTCAACCCAACCCCCAATCAAACATACATGTGCACATAATATCATACGCTAGCATATATAACATGCAACTGATCTAATAGATCATCAATCATAGCAACATCCTATAACCAGGACACAGACCTAACTGGTCACTAACATATCATCATCCTATATACCAGGATACCGACCTAACCAGGTCACTAAGCATATCACCATCCTAACTACCAGGATGTAAATCAATAAGTATATCATGCAATAAACCCGAATACAAATCCGATAAGGGCCGACATTGGTGCCTTAGACCCTGTTGATATAGTGAGGATAACTCACCTCTCAGCTGACGAATGGAAGTGATAAACTCAAACTCTCGAACCACGGCCACGAACTCCACCACCTATATTTACCATAAAATCATTCCCATAAATTTCCAATTTACCAAAATACCCCAGAAGTCAACTAGTAAATCCTTGGTCAAATTCAATGTCAACGGTCAAGTTCAAAAGGTCCATGTTGACCTGACTCATCGAGTGTCGTTCACTAACTCGTCGAGTCCTCCCTGAACTCGAGAAGTCGTGAAATCCCCGGTTGACTCGTCGAGTTTCCCTGCAACTCGCCGAGTTTATGTCTGTCCAAATGTCGGGAAAACCCTAGCTGACTCGCCGAGTCCATGCAGAAATCCTTGCACGACAATCTTCATCGGACTCGCCGAGTTGGCCATGCAACTCGTCGAGTCCGTTCAGTCCTTTCTCCACCCAGACGATTTTTAAGCCACTTTAAGGCTCCATAATGCAGATCTAAGCTCTTAAGGCATACTTCTAACGTAAAGTTGCAAACTTTACGTACATGCAAGGTGATAATGGCCCAAATCAAGCTAATGAAAGGTTCTAAGGGATGAAGAAGGTATTAACTCACTAAAGGCTGAAACTTTATGATCTTACAGACCAAGATAAGCCTAGATCTGATGTTGCAACTTCAGATCACGCCTAATACCCAAAATAACATATCAACATTGCCAAAGTGGCCCTAATCTCATACATGCATAGATCTAGATAGAATAAGGTCAAGGTAACAACTTGTTACCTCAAAAACGATGCTAAGATGAAAAGAACTCGGATCTACAGCCTTCCTCTTGTTCCAAACTTGAGTGCTTCAAGATCTTCCTTCCACAATTCACCACAAAGCTTAATATCACACAAAAAGAGAGAAAAACGGCGATTTAGGGTTTCTGGACTCACAAGGGGCTGTAAGGAGAGGCTAAGGGGCAAAGGATCCTTTAAATAGGGTGCAAAACCCCGGTGATTAGGGTTTTTCATTCCAGCTCCAACTCGCCGAGTCGGGTTCACCGACTCGTCGAGTTGGTCACTTAAACCACATGGCCAAACGCGTCCCTACTCGACGAGTCTAGGCACCAACTCGTCGAGTAGATCTTCTGATATGGACATAAAACTGTAAAGATATATACCTGGGAGTCGGGGTGTTACATCACTACTCATAACATCATCCTATAAACCAGGATACCGATCTAACAGATCACTACTGAACAATAACATACTATCACATAACATAATATCTAATCCAATGGGCTGACCTTGGTGCCTTCGACCCAAAAGTACAGTGAGGAAAACTCACCTCGAATGCAGAAGCTCACTAAAAGAAATCCCTAGCTGCTGCCCTGCCGGCTTCCCGAGTTATCAATACCAACAACACACCCAATTATCAATTGGGTTCCATGCTATAATCCATAATCCTTAATTGGGGTAAAATGACCATTTTACCCCTGACCCAACATGAACTAAATCTGAGGCCCAAACCAAAAGATCCACAAAGGCCCACTAATGGCCTAATTTTCCAAATTGGGCCCAACCCCATATGGGCCTTATCCTAAGCCCATAATTTTCCGTATTACAATTCAGATTACCTCAAGTACACCTTAGGACAAACTTGCTCAAAGACATAAATCGAAAGTCAAAGTCAACGGTCCAAGTTTACCCAACTCACCGAGTTGTCCTTCAACTCGTCGAGTTTCTCCATCAACTACACATATCGGGAAAACCAAGTCAACTCGCCGAGTTGACCAACAACTCGCCGAGTTCCTCTATCAATCTGAAAATGGCGTGGGAAAAACGAGCCAACTCGTCGAGTTTATCCATAAACTTGCCAAGTTCGCCAAAAACCCACAACTTAATACATTAAGCACTTAATCCATAAGGACATGACTCCAAAACATAGATATGACTTCCTTGAGCTAGAAAACCACGTAAAGTTGCCAACTTTATGCTTATGCATGTCTAAATGAAGCTCTTAAGCTTAGAATGGACTTAATAATTGACTTAATGCATGCATAACACCAAAATCCTCATAAAGTTTGCACCTTTAAACTCAAGGGTACCAAAACCAACTCAGATCTGAAAGAACAACCCCTTAAATGACTTCACTCCATCATCATCCCCCAAAAGAGGCCAAAACACAACAAAAACCAAAACAAGGAGATCTAATCATCTACAAATCAAGGTATGAACTTGATACCTTAAAGTGACTGCAAGAAATGGCGTGATTCTGGATCCAAGACTTCCTTCTCCAAGCCAGAAGCTTCAAGATCTTCTAATTCTTTCACAGTGCACAAAATAAACACCAAACTTCCTTCCAAGGCTCAAAAACTTGACAATGGAGGCTACAACTCTTTTTAGGGTTTTGATAACAATGGAGGCTGATAAGGAGGCTAGAAAAAGGATTTAAGGCCTTTAAATAGGGTGCAAGACCCTAAAAATTAGGGTTTCCTTCCCAGCTGCCAACTCGCCGAGTTGAGGCATCTCAACTCGTCGAGTTGGTTCATTAAACCATCGCGATCCTTCCATATTAAACATGTCGAGTTGGTCCCTCCAACTCGTCGAGTTCACCTAGAAATAGGGTTATTCTCAACAATTTCTCTTCACGATTTCGGATGTTACACCCTGTTTCGGGTCGTTTTATAATTCATGGCCGTGACCCGAAGGTCAGGTATCATAAGGCTTCGGGTTTTGGTAATGAGAGGTTTAGACCCATTTGGATGTGGGTATTGTAGATTGTGTGATCTAAGAGTTCGGTTTGTGCTTTGGAGTCAAAAGGTAAAATGGGAAAGTAGTGTTCAGACTTCTGTTATGAATTATGGATTTTAGTTCGCTGTGTTTTAAGTCAAAAGTAATTAGATAGGGTTGTAGAACTCCTCAATACCTTTATGTGGATATAAAGATCGTCGAAATCGGAGTTGAAACGAAGAAGTTATGACCGTTTGAAGCAAGAAGTTAAATACTTCAAAAAACACCAAATAGAAGTTAAATACTTCAAAAAACATGAGTCTTGCAACCAAATAGTCTATTACAAGTCATAACCAAAGCCCGAAATAGTCTATTACAACAAAAACACAATCAAAGTAAAACACAAAGTCCGGTTTGGATGGTCGGTTTCTTGGGTCGGTTTGTCAGTTTTATGTATGGATCGGTTTCTCGGGTTAGATGGATCGGTTTCTGGGTAAAAATCGAAACCGAAACCGATTTTTCGGTTTTTAAAAAATTCAAACCCTAATCTTCGGTTTTGCTTTGCTTTTGGTTTCGTCGGTTTTAGTCAGTTTCTCGGTTTCTTGGTTCGGGTTTGCTCACCCTTAGTAAATATGCCTCCAATGATCTTAATGATTTGGAATACAATGTCTTTAATTGTAGAATAAATGATTAGTTGTAAACAACTCTTTTGAGATGACTATCATATGCATATGTATGTTAGAAAATTCATGTGTGTCGTGGGTTCATGATAAACTTGATGAAAGTACTCTTAGAAAAAGGTCGGACATTTATATTCATGAAAAATGATAAGATCATATAACTAATCCATTGTACGTGCTTATTCCTATAAAAAGACAAAATTAAAGTGTGTAAAATTCACACTAATTTGTCCCACAAAGCAAAATGGTTTGACAAAGTTTAAAACATGTTTGTTATTTTTTAATCAATACGTGCAACTTCGCCATTTGATAAACCAAAATATTTGTTTTCTCTAAAAATTACATTAGATGTTGTTGGAACAAATATATATATTTTTCTCCATGCTTCTTGATGTCTTTTCTTTGCCGATTGTTGCTTCCCTAAAAACATAAGGTAACGTTTGGTTCACATAATGTCTCTAAAAAAATGTAAAATTTATCAAAGAATTGGAATTACATATTTTGTTTGGTTGGTATAAAACAGAATTAGAATAAAACTTACTATTCCATAATATAAATGACATAATTGTGTTTATTGTTTTTTTTCTTAATTTTACTTTGTTTTATATGTAAATGTGTATTATACAAATTATAAAAATAGTACATGATGGTGACGATGGTGGTAGAGACGGTGGTAGTGATGATGATGGTGGTGTCGTGGTGGGTGATGATTGTGATTGTCGTGGTGATAGAGAGTAATATGGTAATATTCAACATTTTTTGAAAGAGATTTTAATTATATATATATATATATATATATATATATATATATATATATATATATATATATATATTATAAAATTTACATTCCCAAGTTATACTCGTTAAGAATTTCAATTCCTTTTTAAAGTTTGAACAAAACATGAGAAAATGATGATTGTGGTGAAAATCCCATCCAATTTGCCAAACAAATGAATAACAAAAGGGAAAAAAAAAATTCGTTTTTAACCCAAATCCAATTTAATATGCGATAATTCTACAATTGATTTTTAGTCGTGGCCTCGTGGGCGGTAGACTGTGTAGTGTGTACCCTGCTTGGTTACTAGTGAAAGCAGTCTTTTCCCGCCTTCCATAATCTCCACCGATGGCGAGAGGTGGTAATGATAAAAGTGGCCGGTCGGCGGCGGAGCAAACAAACCCTGAAGCAGAAGAACGGAAACGACTCAGAAAACTTGCAATTTCAAAGAACTTGCTATCTGAAGCTCCGGCGAAAGCTTCTTCGCTGGCTCTGAACCCCTCCAAGACAGTGATCAAACACCACGGTGCAGACGTACTCAGGAAATCTACCCGGAAGAATCGGTTTTTATTCTCATTTCCGGGTTTAATTTCTCCGATTTCTGGTGGCAAGCTCGGCGAGCTCAAAGATCTCAGCTCCAAAAACCCTATTCTGTACCTCGATTTCCCCCAGGTTTGTTTACTTCATCTAGTGATTTGCTTCCGTCTATGCTTAGGAATTCAATCCGGTTGAAAGTTGTGAGAGTTTATGAGTCCTCGTGTGTCTGGTAGGATTTGATAGATGTGAAAAATGTAAATGCCCCTTTCAACCAACTATTCAATTGCATTAGAAAGGGAAATAAATGTAAGATCTATCTTACTTGTCTATTCTACTTTACTGTGACTGAAATCAAGTTATGTTTAAGATTATTAATCATGGGGCATATGCCTGAATCACCATAAACTGACTGTGACTGGATCTTCTCTCTTCTGTATGTAGGGTAGGATGAAGCTGTTTGGGACTATTGTTTATCCCAAAAACAGGTACCTAACACTGCAGTTCTCTAAAGGTGGGAAGAACGTGATGTGTGAAGATTACTTTGATACCATGGTTAGTGTTTGTTTACTTCTTATCACCATTCTCTCATGATTTACAGGTCTGCAATTTTTAAGCTTCTTGAAATGTTTTACTTCTTCAGATTGTATTTTCTGATGCATGGTGGATTGGAACTAAGGAAGAGAATCCAGAAGAAACCCAACTCAGCTTTCCAGAAAATATGAATATGGTCACCACAATTATTAACTTTTTACCCACAATTGCAAATCAAATTCTTGGACATAATCTTGACATATTCCATATTTTCCACAGGGGCAGCAAAAAGAGTATGATTTTAAAGGTGGTGCAGGTTCAACAAGTGAAAGAATACAAGGGGTAACTCCAAGTAGAGTAACTCAGGTCAAAGTCAAACATCAGGAGACTCCTGTACATAAACTAGAAGAGGAATTTTCAGACAGTGAAAATGATTTACAAGATTTGAGTCAAAAAACACCAACTAGGCATTCAGCAAGGACTTCTGGAAAGAACTATAAGTAAGCATTCTTTCATTTATTGTTAATAGGTTTTGTGTTTATAAGCATACACATAACTAATAACTACGGATATATATTTTTTGAAAGGTTTGCAGAATCTTCTTCTGCAGATGATGCAATTGATTTGGATATCAACTCTGAATCTTCTAATGAGGAAGAAAATGTAACGGGTGGAAGTCCAATCAGGTATCTTCTGAAAACATTTTGTTTTAACAAAAATGGAGATTGAAAATTGAAAGTCCTTTTGCTATATTCTACAGTAAGGATCCTGAAGAAACAGAAGTGATTGAAGAAGCTACAGAAAGTAGTATTTCAGCAACAAAAGTGAAGGATCGTGGTTCTCTTGTTCAAGCCACTATCTCTACATTATTCAAGAAAAAAGAGGAAAAGGTCATACTTTAAATCATGAAATATTTTCGATCATTATTTCCACCATATACACTTTTAGAATAATTAATGTGTTAAGTGTTAATGACTTGTTTTATTAAACTTCTGATGTTTACAGATGGCAATAAAGGAAGAAAAGGGAAAAGGAGTTAAAGGAAGAAGAGCTAGTGGTATATTACTATATCATATGTTATATGATTGTTATTTTGTTTATTGTCTAGTAAGCATATTAGTCTAATTTATTGGTATATTTCTCACTTAGGTACAAAATCTACTCCAAGGAAGAAAAAGGCTAAGGTATTCTTATTAAATTTCTTTTATAAGATTACTTGCTAGAAATTGTTTTTTTCTTTTAGCAGTTTGGATTGATAAATATTTTATGTTCAAGTATATATTTAAAAAGGTTGTGAAAATATAGTGTCATGTTTACATAGTTTGCTGAGAAACTTTATATATCTTTCCTTAATTACTTAACAGAAATATTTCTAGATTTTCGTTTGACAACATTCTCATTTTTTTTTAGGTTGCTGATGATGAAATTGAAGATATATCAAATCCATCCGAGGTAAGATTTTTTATTACCAATCAGCTTTTTACAATTTTTACTTAATGTCACTTATTATATATTCATATGATGAAATAATCACTTCAAGATTCATGTATATGTGATAATGCAAATTGTGTAATTACACATGGTTTTAGTATAAGTAATAGGGTTAAATGCAAGAAATTGTATTGTATTTTCATTGTTGAAATTTTTGGATTCAACTAATTTCATCCTCAAATGATATGTTCAGGATTCAAGTGATGAAGACTGGGGTGCTTGACTTGACATTTAAAGTCAACCGAAGCTCTTGGGAACATTCTTCATCAAATGTTGTATGCATATGTTTCAATTGATTTGTGCACTATTATAGTCTTATGGATTCTTTTCATTACAAAGACCTGTTGTTGTCTATGTTCCATAGAATTATAGCGTTTAAATTTGACATGTAATTTTATTAAAATGTTTGTTTTGTCAAATGTGTAAAACGAAATGGATAGAAATATCAATGTGACATGAAATATCTCAATAAATATATAGTAACAGAGACAACAACGTTATTAAAACTTAAAACGAAAATAAATCTTGACAAACTTATAAATCGTTGCTTGTTATCATCTTATTTAATCTTACCATTGTTTAACATCTTAGAAATTCTTTGGTGTTTGACTTTGGATTATGAGTTCATATACCCCTTGACTTTGGATACTTGTTTATGTACCCCTTTGATTTGGATTATTATTTATTACACCCTTGAGATTTGATTTGTTGGTTATTAAACCATTCTGAGCTAAATTTGGGTCCCTTGTATCCTTGATTTGATATTATTGAGTTTTTGAAAACTTTGTTGGTTTTCTATTGATTTTGGAGATTTGAATCGACTATAATGATTGTCATCATTACTTACTCAAAATTAGTCAACATCGAGTATTCCCACCAGATATTCCATTGCCTAACTATAATTTAACATCTATTTAGATGAAGACCTAGAGATAAGAACGGAAGATGACAATGAAAATTTTGAAATCCAGTTTGTATGGTATTTTGATATAAATTGTAACAACCTTATTATTTCAAACTTTAAACTATGATTATGATATTTGAGACTGTTATTCTGCACTTTTGACCTTCAAAATGAGATTTAAAATCAAAAAGATTTTAGAAGTTTTTTAAAATTTACCTTAACAATGGGTGTTTCACAAATCTTTATATCAATGCCGCTTTAGTTTTTTGCCCACAAAGAAAGAAATAAGTGAATAAAACTTTAATAATCGATAATATAATTAAAAGATACTTGACGAATATTGTTTCAAAATATCACAAGTTTTATAACGCTTGCGATCAAATTTTATACCTCAAGTGGTTGAATTTGACTTAAAATATCAGTTGACATTTGCAGATTAAGCGATTAAACTCAACATAATCTTAATTGGCATTTGTAAATTGATTATTATTTACATTGATTGTGTTTGTGTTTGATGACGTTTAACTTATTTTAAAATAATATAAAAAATTCCCAAGCCAATACACTTTTGGAAACTTCACATTGCAATGACTATTCTAAAAAAAAATACATCTATCAATTACAATTTATTTCCGCACAACATGCGATAATACATTAATACCTCTAATTTTTTGATAAAACCAATTGGATATCCTAATCCTAACTATTACTTGTTAGTTTTGGTCCCTAGTAATTGGCTTTATTTGTTGATTTCTAATTCCCCTTTAGGCGCACACAAGAAAACACAATGTCCATTTAACATGCTAAATTAGTTTTATTTGTATCAAATTCTTCAAGGTATGATAACAATTATAATCTTTGAATAATGTTAAAACGGACTGATAGTATGATTAGTCGCTTTCTGTTTTTTTAGTCACAATCTTATTTCATTCTCATGTGGTTTGAGTATTATTGTTATTATCTTGAATAATTGTGAAATTAGAAATTTCTTAGATTAAAATCGGTGTAAATGACATTAATTCAGACGTTATGTAACTTTTTTTTCTTACGTTCTATAATTACCTTACCATTACCATGTTTAAAACATTTTACAAAAATCTCGAGAGCTATATATATGATCCAACCAACAAAAAGAAAAAAGAAAAAAAAAGAAAAAAAAAAAGGGAAAGGGAAAGGGATTTCCAAGGCTCAATGGAAAAGGTACAAATTGCAATTCCAGAAGTTCCTTTAGCTGCTTTTTGGGCCATGGCTTCCTCTCGCCCTTCTTCTTTCCAATTCTTTCCACAAGCTTCAATTGCATTGTAACATTGTTCTTTCCTTCATTCACTCACTCTCTCTTTCTATCTGCTACTTGAGGGACACCGGCGTTTTCTTCCATGGCAGCATTATTTGTTGATTCATCACACATTTTACTTCTGTGCTGCTACATCTCTCCAAACAACAAGACTCACACGAGATTCAGTAAATACAGCTCCAGTGAAGTTACCAGTTCTTCTTATCCTTCTAGGGTTTCGTTTGATTCGTTGTCGAGAAGGCGTCAACGACGAATTTTGCTGTCTGTAAGCGGTCGCGAAATTGCTGACGTTCGTGTCGCTGATAATAGCAACAATGTTCATCATACACGATCAGCATTTGTTGAGATACCTGTCACTTGCTACCAGGTTCCTTGTACTTGTTTCATGATTAATTTGTGCCTTATTGGTGTCAATTTCTTGACACTGTACTCTCATATTCACCACTCACAGTTACATGTATCCTTAATATCAGATTGGCTCTAGATTTGACCAAAACAAGCATCCAATGTTATTGATTACTCTGTTGCTGTAATTATACTGTATATTATTGGGTTTAACTGTCTAATACTGGGATCAATTAATCTAATCTGACTGATAGTGGTTATATGAGGGATTTCTTAGTGGTACATCCTTGTATATATCTCTCTCTGCTTCATCATGTATAGTCTTTAATATTTCTACCAACCGCAAATGAGATGACTTATGTTGCCTCTTGTTGAAGACTAGGGTATTTGTGACCTATGATAAGTTAAGATGCTTATCAATCTGAATTACTTACAATGAACATATTGCAGATTCTTGGTATTCCCGATAAATCAGAGAAAGATGAGATTGTTAAGTCCATGAAGCATCTAAAACTTGCTGAGATTGAAGAAGGATACACCATGGATACTATTGTTTCTCGCCAGGTGCCTTTAAATCTATTTTAATATCCCTAGTAACATTAGTATGATCCCTTTGTTACAGGATAACAATAAACTCGCTACATAAGCATTGATATGTAGCTTCTTTTTGCATATTTTCAGAATCTTTTAATGGATGTGCGTGATAAGCTTCTTTTTGAAGCAGACTATGCTGGTAATGTAAGAGAAAAAGTTCCACCAAAGTCATCTCTTCAAATTCCATGGTCCTGGTTGCCTGGTGCACTTTCCCTCTTACAAGAGGTAGATGATTCTTGGAACTACATTGTATTGTTTTTCATTTTTTTTCATGTTCTTTTGAATTTCTTATGATGTATATCTAATTTAAGTTTATTCTAGGTTGGAGAAGAGAAGCTTGCTCTAGATATTGGGCGAACAGCACTACAACACCCTGATTCTAAGCCTTTTGTTCATGATTTGCTTTTATCAATGGCTCTTGCAGAGGTAAGAAAAGGCAGAAAGAGGTTTGAGCATGCCACCTGTCTTTTCCTTCACATTTTCTTATTATAGCCTTATAGGTGCTTTCTTGAAGTGTGCTATAGCAAAAGTAAACTTTGAAAAGAACAAGATTTCCCAAGGATTTGAAGCTTTAGCTCGTGCTCAGTCTCTTCTCAAAAGCAAACCTTCACTTGAGCAGATGACATTGTTATCTCAGGTGCTTTTTACTTCACTTCCCTTTTATTCAAATAAAGAAACACCCTAAACGGAAATATCAATTACAATATGCATTAGATTGAAGAATCTTTGGAAGAGCTTGCTCCTGCATGCACATTGGAGTTATTAGGCATGCCTCATACACAAGAAAATGCTGAGAGGAGAGTAGGGGCAATTGCAGCCTTAAGGGAACTGTTAAGACAGGGACTGGATGTGGAAAGTCAATGCCAAATAGAAGATTGGTCAACCTTCTTGAATCAAGCTTTAAATAAGCTCATGGCTGCAGAAATAGTTGAGCTTCTTACTTGGGATAGTTTAGCTAATACGCGAAAGAACAAGAAGTCACTCGAGTCACAGAATCAAAGAGTAGTAGTTGATGCAAATTGCCTCTATACTGTAATGATGGCCCATATTGCCCTTGGTTTTTCAAGCAAGCAAATAGAGATGGTATATTCCTTTTGGAAACCCGGTACATTTTTTATTTATTTTAAGCTCACATATCTAAAAAAAAAATACATCTCACATATCTATTCATTAAAGTCTTTTCATTTTGTTTTGTAGATTAAGAAAGCAAAAAGCATTCTTGAGTGTTTCGTGGCATCAGAAGGAATTGCTTTAAAACTTGAAGAAGCCTTTTGCTTGTTTCTACTAGGAGAGGTGATTTTCTCTTGTATAGAATGTGTTTAATCAACATATTGAGGGCTATATTCGTCATTTTGTATAGGGCGATGAGGCTGTGGTTATTGAAAGGCTTCAACAAGTTGAGACAAATTTAAATTCAACTTCAAGAACTTTGTTATCACGGATGGACATCAAGGATGCTTCAAATGCCAAGAAGTTGCTTGTATGTTTTTGTTTATGCATTTTTTACAAAATTTCAAATGCCTTTAAATCATGGGTTATGTGATAAATGTAGATATAATCTCACACAAGAATTGTTGCTGGATTGATCAGGAATCATGGGTAAAGGATGCTTTACTTGGCTTGTTTCCAGACACAAGGGATTGTTCTCCATCTTTGGTGAGTTAATACTTGTTCAAAAACATATCTGTTTTTAGTCTTAAAAGAAGCTAATTTTTTAAACAAATTTCTTCAGGATAACTTTTTTGTTGGTGAAAAGAAGGTTTCTGAAAACAAGAATAGAAAAAGAGCACCACAAACATCACCAAGTTTAAACCAGAGACCACTTTCTTCTACTTTTTCATCTGATTGGAGAACTATTGAAGATCATTCATCTTCACCACGTCTTGGGTCAACTGTGAAACAGTTGACTCCATCAAATCTACAAAGCCCACTAATAGCAAACAATTTGAAACCCGAAAGCTATCCATCTGTTCAATTAAAGAGAAATTTAGGAGTACACTATGATAAAGTTTGGGAAATTTGGTTGGATCCAAATAACACAATTAGGTATATGAGCTTTGCCACAGCAATGTTTTGCTTATTATTTGCAACCATGGGTGTGCGGTTTCGTGGGCCCAGGAGGGTATCTAGTTGGGCCCTCAGTGGGCCCAACACGGGATCACTTACAGAGTCTTCTCATGGTCTTTGGGGATCTGCTTGTGATAAGGGGAATCTTATTGCTAAAATGGTGATGTCATTGTGGTCAACGCAAAAGGAAAAAGTCAAGGGTGGAATCGAAGGTGGAGGTGTAAAAGATTCTAGCATGGGTGCGAGTTTAAATTCATGTAAAAAGAGATCAATGCGTGTGGAAGAAGCTGAAAGTCTTGTTAAACAATGGCAAACTGTTAAAGCTGAAGCTCTTGGGCCTAATCATCAACTTCATAATCTTGTTGATGTTCTTGATGAGTCGATGCTTCTTCAGGTAAGTAATGTTTTGCTTAGGGGCTGTTTCTTTTTAACTTAATGGTAACAAAAGGGTAAAATAGACATTTACTCATGTTCAGAGGGTTCATCGAGTCAATCATGTTATCAAGAGTATGAACCTTTTAAATATTTGTTCAAAACGTATAATAAATCTTTGACTTTTTCAAGGTCTCTGATATTTACAACTTTCCATTAATCTGAACACAGTGGAAGGGTTTAGCTGAGTCAGCAAAAGACAGGTGTTGCTTTTGGAGATTTGTTTTGCTGCAGTTGACTATTCTTCAAGCAGACATTTTGTCAGATGAAACAGGTAAGGAAATGGCAGAAATAGAGGCTCTTGTTGAAGAAGCAGCTGAACTTGTGGACTCATCTCATAAGAAGAACCCAAATTATTATAGGTAAATATTTTGCATTTTTACGAATTTACCCTCTTAACAATCATTACAAACTATATTGATAACATTAATTATGACTAATTTCAGTACCTACACGATTCGATATTTACTGAAGAAACAAGAAGATGGATCATGGAAATTCTGTGAAGGTGATGTTGAAATCCAATCATGATCATACATACTCATTGTCTGGAGCTCTTACAAGTTTTTTCATATCTTTGTTCCTTTTTTATAACCTTGATAGAACATTGTTGTGGGTTTAGTTTAACTGTTTCAGAAATGTACAAAAAATTAATTTTATTAGGTGTTCATATTACACTTTGTGTCTTCCACTACAATGCCAATGGATCTTTAATCTTTATGTGTCGCGATAGTGATGCCATTTTTTGTATCTTTCATGACCTGAAAGCACAGGTCTAATCCTATCAGCAGATGTACATTGTGAACAACAGCATCCTCTTAACTCATCCATGCAATTCAAACAACACCTGAAAAGAAAAAAAATATTGTTTATGAACATCGAATTATAAAAAAAATATAAAACTATGGTACACACTAAAGTTACTTACAGGAATAGCAGATTACAATCCAGGTTTGCACAATTCCGATGTCTCAATTCCGAGACTTGTGAATTACAAATATAGCATTTAGCAAACACAACATCATCATGAACTTTGGTTTCATCATGTTTAACTACTGAAGGTGGTGGTAGAGAGAGGCGAGAGTCAAAAACAAATAAATTTCCAATCCATTCCACCGAGCCTTCACACTCTAGATAATGTGAGATTCCTCCTCTCAATGTATACAGCTTTTTGTAACCCCTTTGTCTATCAAATCATACACAACTCATTATTCACATATAATGACATATATACATTTACATATACACACACACATACCTAAGGATAGTGGAATATACGTCGCAACGAATACCACCTGTGCAATACATTAATATCTCTGTATTTTCTTTGTTAACATTAGCTAAAGGATCTGAAGCAACGTCCTGTATCAAATGAATAAACATGGAGATAAACAAACGATTGATAGATACATTTTATAATTTGAAATCTGATATTTGACTTGTACATGACAAACATGGAGCAAGTTATATTTATATACCTCTGATTCAGATATCCCGAAAGTTGTGCTCCTGAAACAGTCTACATTTGGTCGTTGAGCTCCACGAAAGTGACCAATATCCCATTCATAACCTAAATACCAAAACCATATTACCACAATAATAATTAATTAATGTGTTAAATATGATCAAATAAGGAGAGGGGAGAAGAAAAGTACCGTTTCTGACATCTAATAAAATGACATTTCTATCCTCGAGTCTCTTCCTCCATTCAGATGGTGTGAGAGGCGTTGCTCGCATAGATGAGTCGGTTAAAGGAAGATGTGATACCCCTCCTTCCAACTGAACAAAATTAAAACAAATTTAAAAACATTTAATAAAAAAGAATAATTTCCACCTCTAGACTTGATTCATTTTCCTGACTTTTTGTATCAAGAAAAACCATGTCTAGCAAAAAAAATCAGCTTAGAGGAGTGTGACTGCTTTCTTGCCTGTACAAGAGAAGGTTTATACCGCAGTTTGAGTCTTGGGAAAGCATGCCTGTGAACAGGAGGTGATATCTGAACTAATATATCATTAAATCTCTCATCTTCTTTTAACCAATTCACGTATGCAAGAGCATCTTCTGATGGCCCACTGTACTGCACCACAAATTAACCAAATTAGGCTTCATATCATTCTTCAAATATGATTCAGGCCCAATTTAGATGCCATGCAGGAATCGTTTTTACCTACCTGAGCATTGATTCCTTGTTCATTCATGTATATCCGACCATGTATGTCACGACCCTACAAGTAAGTCATAAGTCATCAGTCATCACCACAACCTAATCATTTCAATTGCACATTCAAACACCCACTACAACGCTTATCAAAATCAACTTCAACATTGAAATGAATTCCTTATAATTGAAAACAGAAAATGGGAACCTGTAGAAATGCAAGGTGTTTGGAGACCTCCTGTTCTGGGTCTTTGATGAACACAAACCGGTAGAAATTAACTACTAAAAAAACCCTTTCACCCTCCTCAAAGACCTCATCGGCTTTATCCCGCTCCCGTCTTACCCAGTTGGGTTTCTTAGTCGATGACGATGATAATGTGGAAGAGCATTTACAAGGTTGTAATCGAATTTTGATGCTCCTATATTTAACTGGAACTGAATATGATGAAAAAGTGGTCTTTCGAGTGATTGTAGTGGAACATTTGAGACTTTTTGGTGGGATACATGGTAGGGTTAGAGTTAGAGAACACATAATCCTACGCTTACAGAAAGGAAAATGTGAGTTGCAATTGCCAGGAATTGGGTGTGGGATTTCCTCTGCTCTTCAGTTTCAAGTTTCAATCGCACGAGCTTATCCTGCCATGCCAGGCACTCGCACTCCTCTATGCTTCTATATGGAAAGGAAAAAAGCCACAAGCTTTTGTCGTTGTTTTGGGGCAAATCAACCCGGATCGACCCGAACCTCTCACTCTTTTGGCTTGGACCCGTGAAGAAGCTATTGTTGGATCTTGCAAATACACACAATGTCACAAATTTAATGTTTTTAAAACCGGTTTGAATCGGTCGGTTTGGATCGATGACGGGAACAGTTTAATAGCAATTGGTTTTATGTCAAATTTTAGACCCGATAAACCGGACGATTTCTTCAAAAACTAGGTTGAACCGGTGTGATGGAACTGGTAAAAAATCGTTTGAACATGTTTATTAGATTTGTATAGTTGAATTTCACTTGGTTTGTTAAAAAACAACATATCTTTAAAGAAAATTAAACATTTTCGGAGTTTACATAACTCGAAGGCCGACGCACACCACCACTAGATGTAGAAAAATTCTTAGTTGAATCGACGGTTAAACTGGTAGTCAAATTGGTGGTCGAAACGGTTGAACCGAAACCAATCATCGAACCGGTACAACTGAAAAAACCGATTTTTAAAACATTAGACACAATAACTAAGCATTTTAGATTATGTTCTATAATTATCTTATTTTTTGAGCATTGGACACTTATATAGAATCTAACTTAGCCTTTTATTCATATTACTGGATATCTATATATCTTATAAAGCTAGCATTTTTCCTTGAACCTCATACATTTGAAACTCCCATGCATCTTTCCTTTCACTACATTCATTTGAAACTCCCATGACTTTTCAATTTCTTTCTAATAATAATTATAAGTTGGTTAATAAGGTTAAATAAATATCAAACCTAAAGTGTAATCATATATAAACTAAATTTCAATATTAAAATAATATATTTACTTCTTCTTATAAAGTTATGTTTTTAACTTTTAACATATTATACTTAATTTATTAGTTTAATATATTGTTGGATGTAAACGATTATCATTTTAAAGATACAATTTTGGAACAATTTGTATAAAATAGTTAAATTATTAATTTAAATATAACATTATAGGGTCAACTTAAATGTAAATTTTACTTTACCTTAAACAACCCAAAAAACATTTTGTAAATAGTTTAAAGTGATAAATTGTAGTGTCTTTCTAATAATGATTATAAGTTGATTAATAAAGTTAAATAAAGATCAAACCTAAAGTATAATCATAAATAAACTAAATTTCAATTTTTTAATAATACATTTACTTCTACTTATAAAGTTATGTCTTTAACTTTTAACATATTATATTTAATTTATTAGATTTAAAATGTTGTTGTATGTAAACCATTATCAGTTTAAAGCTACAACTTTTGAACAGTTTGAACAAAATACTTGAATTGTTAATTTAAATATAACATTATAGTGTCAACTTAAATATAAATTTCACTTCCACTTAAAAAAACCAAAGAATATATATTTTGTAAATAGTTCAAAGTGATAAATTGTAGTGATAAATGAAAAACTAAATTGTAATCTCAATTTAACTAAAATATTTCTAAAGATATTTTTTATAATCATTAAAAATTTTCAAATAAGTAGTTTAAAATAACTTACAATAACAATAGTTAAAAATAACTATATATAAATGATTATATTGTTACCTTTAAAATCAAAAAAACAATGTTTGATGTTTTAAATAATTATAATGACAAAAATTAAAACATTAAGCAAATAAATTTTAAAAACTTTATTAACAATAACAATAACTATAAATAACATTAAACCATATATTATATTTAATTTTATTCATTAGTAACTCGCGGGTAGAAGTTATTCAAACGATTGAGATAATGCAGTTATAATAGATGTATATATTATCATATAATTCAAAATAATCAATATATTATATCAATTTAGTATACAAATTATTATATCAAATTTAACAACAACATTATTGTTATATTTTAAAAAAACATATATTTGTAAAGACTTCAACTATATAGGTGTTTCTGCACAACAACGTGCGGGCATTCACCTAATTATACATAAGATAAACGTTCATTGTGATTCATATGGTTACTTGTATTGAAACGTAACATAAAAAGCCGAACCAAAGGAAAGCCACACGTCGCAATACTACAAACCCGTAAAATATTGTATTATTTTCACCAACAAAAATAGGATTCAAACAGACTCATCGTGCTATTGTCTCGTCACCTTTGGTTCGCCGTTGATTTACCTTTACAACCGATGTATAGGAAAAGGCCAGGTACCTTCTTTTTCGATTTAAGATTTCTTCGCCGAATTTAGCTTAAAGGATGTACTTACGAATATTGCTTCAATTTTCATTGTTCACGGTTTTAATCTGTTCATAATTAGTTTTTGTACTTCACAGTTTGATATCAGTAAACCTGTCTGTCAAACCTATGTGAAATTTTGCAAACCAATCACGCATGCTTTGATGTCTTGTATTTTAATAATTTTATGTATAATATTTACACATGTGTCATGTTGTGTTGAAATAACAAATGAATTGAGAAAGCTTGACTATAACTCATCCTGTTTGTATATCGTGTCACGTCAACCCATTTAATTGTGTGTTGAGTTTGTGTCCAGAGTCAAGTTTCGGTTAGGATTAGACCTTAAAATGTGTTGTGATTTGTGAGGTTGAAAAACTGAATATGTTTGAAAGAATAGAAATGAACATACAGAAAGAAAAAAAAATAGAAAATTAGAAAAAGTAGTAGTTGGAATGCGGAATAACTAATTCATAATAATTTTAAAGGAAAAATTAAAAGAGTAGGATTTTGTGAGACTGATGGGCGGGATCGTGAAGGAAATGGTCGAAAGAACTGTGTATTTTGGGAGAGAACGAAAAAACTGAAAAAATGATATCTTGATTTAGTCAGCTAAGTCGTTTCCACATTACAAAATGACTCAACAAAAATTATTTCTTTTATATATGGTTTTGTTTTTGGTCTTTCTAGTTTATCTAAAAAATTATAAAAACCTGCATATAAATAAACGGGTTGTATTCGAGTTGAAATACTCGGATAATCAGATTGTAATATTGTGTGTATTATTATAATATGAGAATACGATTACAATATATATATATATATATATATATATATAGAGTAGATATTTACACTTTGTACCCTTCTACTACTTAGCTATATTACAAACTGTCTAATATTCCCCCGCAAGCTAAGGCCGAGTAACGACCTGCAGCTTGGACCGTAAATCAGCAAATCGTTGAGAAGATAAAGGCTTTGTAAAAATGTCTGCAATCTGATCATGAGTGGAAATAAACTGAACAGAGAGTTTCCCTCCAGCAACTTTTTCTCTGACAAAGTGGAAATAAACCTCAACATGTTTTGTACGGGCATGAAAGACAGGATTAGCTGATAAGTATGTGGCACCCAAGTTGTCACACCATAAAATCGGGACTGATGCCATTGGAACCTTTAGCTCTCTAAGAAGAGCTTCAAGCCACGTGAGTTCAGCAACAGTGTCAGCTAGAGCTTTGTACTCGGATTCCGTTGATGACCGAGATACAGTTCGTTGTTTTCGAGCTGACCACGAGATAAGATTGTTTCCAAGATAAATGGCATATCCCCCGGTGGATCGACGGTCATCGAGACTACCAGCCCAGTCTGCATCCGAGAAAGCACGCAAAGATGAGGCATAGGCGTCAGTATAGGTATGAAGAAGAGACCCCGAGTCATGTTTGATGAGAAGCCCATAATTAGATGTCCCATGAAGATATCGTAGAATTCTTTTCACAGCGGACCATTGATTTTCAGTCGGTGAATGCATGAACTGGCAAACTTTATTTACAGCATAGGTAATGTCTGGACGTGATAAGGTGACATATTGAAGGGCACCAACAACTTGGCGATATTGAACTGGATTGTTAAACAAGGGACTGTCTCCAAGATATAAATTTGCAGTTGTAGTAATCGGAGATGGTACCGGTTTTGCATGTGAGAGATTTGCTCGTTGAAGTAGATCCAAGATATATTTTTTTGAGATAAAATCACGTCTGAGTTCTTTCGAACTACCTCAATGCCCAAAAAATATGAAAGCGAACCCAAATCTTGAATGGCAAAAATTTGACTCAGATTGTTAATGATCTTATCAATGGCAATAGAATTGTTACCTGTAAGAATGATATCATCAACATATACCAGCATATATAAAAGCGTGCCCTTAGAGGAATAAATAAAGAGTGAAGGGTCGGTTTTGGATCCTTGAAACCTAAGGTTATGCAAAGCCTTGGTTAACCGATGAAACCATGCACGGGGTGCCTGCTTTAGCCCATATAAGGATTTGTGAAGTAAACAGAGGTGATCAGGTTTCGTTGAATCAATGAACCCTGGTGGCTGGCGTAAGTACACTGTCTCATTGAGTTCTCCATGTAAGAATGCATTTTGAACATCCAACTGTCTAAGTGTCCATCTTTGTGTAATGGAAAGAGAAAGAACTGTACGAATAGTAGTAGCTTTCACAACGGGGCTAAATGTTTCAAAATAGTCAATGCCCTGTTGTTGCTTAAACCCCTTTGCGACAAGGCGTGCTTTGTAACGAGTGACTTTTCCTGTTTGATCTCGTTTAAGTTTGTACACCCATTTACAGTCAACCACATTTGCATTAGGAATAGGTGGAACAAGAGACCATGTGGCATTGCGCATTAGGGCTGCGTATTCTTCGGCCATAGCAGCCCGCCATTGAGGGGATTTGTTGGCACTGGCAAAGGTTGTGGGCTTACTATTAGAGGAGTGGGTGTTGGTAGTATATGTGTAAGGGTTAAAGGGAACCCGTGGTTTGGGATTCTGACGAAGATTGGGTGGTCGTGCACGAGTTTGGGGTTGATCGGTGTGCACAGTAGCAGTCGGCTCGCTAATGGGAGCAGTAGGTTGGTTCGGTGAGGAGGAAGAGGGGCTGGATGGAGAGTCTTCAGTAGGAGTGGTAGTAGGTATGGTAAAGTCGGGTGATGTAACGGGTGTATCAGATGGAATGGTGGTAGGTATAGTAGTATCAGGTGATGGAAC